AGATATAAATTCTAGCTTTATAGTAGTTAAGATATCTATATTAATCTAGCTTATATATAAATACTTATTTAAGGGGTATTAGCTTATTCTTTATTTTTAATTTATCTATAACGTTTTAAATACTTATTTCTTTAAGTTTATTAATTTTAACGTTATATATTTTAATAAAATAAGAATAAAGTAGCTTTAGTATATATTAGATATTTTTCTAAGTTTTAAATAGTTTTATAAACTAATTAATATAGATTTTTCTACTTAATATTATAGATATATAATCTAATTTTATTTAGTAAACTAAAGTAAAAATAAAATAATAAAATAAGTAATATCTTTAGTTTACTTCTTTAAGTATTTTCTACTACTCTAATATATATATTTTAAAGAAAATATTTTAGTTTTATTCTATTTAGAAGAATATAAAGTATATTCTAAAGTAGAGAGATTACTTTAGTTTTATAATTTTAAGTTAGCTTAAGTTAATATAGTTATATACTTACTCTAACTCCTCTTTAATAATACTCTTTTCTTTAATTCTTAAGTATAGCTATACTAGCTAAATAAGAAAGTTACTTTATAAGAGTAGTTATATATTAATATCCTCTATATTTAGATTTTATAGAAAAAGTATATTTATCTAAATATATATCTTATCTAAGATTATATCTTTAATAAAGGTTATATCTTTATTAATATCTTAAGTCTCTTCTATTATATTATTATCCTAAATAAGGTTTAATAGTAATATTAAATTTAGTACTTTATATATCTTAGTAAAGTCTAAATTTAACTTAAAGGTTAATATCTATCTCTTTTACTTATTATTAACTATTTAAGGTTTTCTTAATAAAGAAAAGTATAGTAATAATACTTTATTATTTATTATTAATATAAGATTAGCTTTACTTTATACTCTTAGAATTTAGAGTTCTAAAAGTATAAAGGATATTAGTTCCTATATTTTATTAGTAACTAAGTAAACTTCTTTACTTTAGATTATTATCTTTATATTATCTTTTAAATAGAATATCTTCTTATTAAAGGTTATATTTTATATAATAATAACTTCTTAAAGTAAAGATATTTAGACTTTATAGAAGTTATATAAGTTTACTATATAACTTACTAAATATTTAATATACCTTTATATTATAACTTTAAAGTTATATTTATTCTTATTTACTTTATATTCTTTCTTAAAGAGGTATATTTTATAGCTATATATATAGACCTCTCCTTATTAAGAGTAAGAATTAACTAAGAGGTTTATTTTATAAATAGGTTTATAATACTTAATATAGTTTCTTAACTAATCTTCTTTAACTTAAATTAATAAAAACTAGCTATAATATTAGTAAAGACTTATATTATAAAAAACGTTATAGTTTATACTACTTTAATTTATAAGTTAGATAGAAAGTTTATTACTTAAAATATTATAATAGCCTTTATAATTAGTTCTTAACCTACTTACTTTATACCTCTATTTAGTTCCTTAGTATATAAAAAAGCTTATTTAACTTTAATCCTTATTTCTAACACTTAGATCTAAAATTCTAATAGTTTATTAATTATAATTATAGTATACTTAGTATCTTATTTAATCTTATATAACGTAAAGCTATATTATCTTTATACTTAGCGCTTAAAAATTTAAATAATAATAAAAACTAAGTATTAAGTTTTATCTATATATAGGAATATAAAGAGTTAACTTATATACTTATCTTTAATAACTAAGAACTATTTATTTATATTAAAACTTATTAGATAGTTAAATAAGTCTTATAATACTTTATAGAAAAGTTATATTACTTTTTATTCTAAAATATATTATAATATAACTTACTTTATATATATTATTATATAATATTAGTATTTAAAGTATAATATATTTTAGATTTTTACTCCTTAAGTATTAAGAATAAATTTCTTAAGCGCTCTTTAGCTAAGATAACTAAAATAAAAGTATTATATTTCTATAGTATTAATATAAATTTAGATAAGTTCCTAAGAATATTACTTTATATAAGTTATTATAAAGGCTAGTAAACTTATAATTAAAGCATTACTAAAAGGGATATACCTAAAACTAAAGTATAAGAAATAAGGTTAGTAATCTATAAAAGTAACATTACTTTTTTTTAAAAGCTTTTTTATTTTTATACTATTCTTATAGTTTCTAATATAAAAAGTATTATTAAATCCTAAATACTAAATATTTATCTTTTATAGTAAGTATTTTAAGATAATATTAATATAGAAGTTATTTATAAAAGCAATATTCTAAAATATTAAGTCTTAGAGTTTATTTACTCTATTTAAGATATTATAAAGAACCTTTATACCTCTTATTATAATAAAGTATAAAGTTATACTTATTTTAACTTACTTTTTTATTTTATAGATAATAAAGCTTTTTTTAAAAAGAGAGATATTATTAACTAAGTAGAGAGTACTATAGTTATTTAATACTATACTATTAGAGAGGATTTTTAAGTTTTAAGTATAAGTTATATAGATCTTATTAGGTTTAGATTCTAATATAAAAGCTCTTATTTTCTCTACTATAATCTCTATAATAATATCCTTAGTAATAATATAAGCTACTATATAGGATAAGAGGTTTACTTTAAAAATAAAAATAATAATTAACTTTTTTAATTTATTAGAATTATTCTTAAGTAGCCTCTTTTTATTCTAATTCTTATTATTTTTAAATTTAAGAGTACTAAAGTTCTTTATAGTAAACTACCTCTTATAAACTATTTTAGTATAAAGCTTAAAGTATTCTAGCTTATTAATTCTAAAGTAAACCTAAATTACTTCTTTAAAACTTATATAAGCTTCTTTATTTATAAAAGTAAACTTAAAGTAATTATAAGTAAATAAGGTCTACTTATAGTTTCTTCTATATATATAGTATAAAACTAACTTACTTTATAAGAGTTTTTCTAAAATAAGGTTATTAGAAATTATACTATTAGATTATCTAGCTAATATTATAAAGATTTTATTAATATAACCTTTTAAATAAATACTTATTATATTTTTATAGAGAAGGTTTTTAAATATATTAATATACTAACTTATACTTTAGATCTTAGTATTAAAGCGCTCTTACTTAATAATATTAATAAGCTTTAAATTAGCTTAAAATAGAGTAAAGTAGTATTAAATTATTTAGAAAAAAGTTTTTAATATAAAAGTTCTTTATATTTCTAGTAACTTATATTAAGAAGTTTTAAGAAATATACTTTAGAAATCTTTAATCTAAGTATTAAAGTTAATAATAGAAGCTACTTAATTTAGAACTATAATATATTCTTTATAGATTATAGTAAAGTTATTTAAGTTACTTAAAGTATAATATTACTTTAGAATATATATTAAAGTATAAAAAGTATAATCTCCTTTTTTAAAGAGCTTTATTTAAATAAATATAAAGATCTCTTCTAAAATAATATCTTTAACCTATTTATTTAAAGCTTTATATACTTACTCCTTCTATATATATTTTACTTTATAAACTATATATATAGTAAAGTATAAAGTATAAAACTTAAAAACTTTTATAAATCTCTTAATAAGAAAAATAAGTATAATTAGTATTAATAATAATAAATTATTAATAGCTTCTTTAAACTCTTCTTCTCTAGAGTTTTTATCTTTAATAATATTACTTTCTATAATAACTTCTTAAGCGTTTAAAGTAGTAGGAGTATATAAAATAATAATTTTATTATAAACTTCTTATTCTACTTTATAATACTTATATTACTTCTTATTTTCTTTTTAAATTTAGTTATTAAATAAAAATATACTTTTAACTTTACTTAAGTTAAAAGAGATATTAGAAGTATTATTTAGGTTAGTATATTTCTAAATATTTTTAGTTTTTACTTCTACTTAAAAAGTAATATATTAAATTAAGAAATTATAATAAGAAGTAAATTTATAAGAAATACTTAAGTTAGTAGTTATTATTATATTAAGAGTATATTATAAATTAAAAGTAATTATAAAGATAAAGTTTTAAAATTAAAATAAAATATAATAGATATAAAATAGATTAAATAAAGTTATAGTTTACTTTATAGATAATAGTTTAGAAGTATAATATAAGCTAAGTTTATAATTATTATAAACTAATTATAATATATATATAGTATTTATATAAATAAAATAGTTTAATTCTTTTTAATTTAGAGTTTAATATAAAAAGTCTTTTAAAAAGCAGATCCTAATACGCTAAAATATTATTAGTCTAAATAAGTAGGTTAGAAGTAGGTTACCTCGTACCTTCCTCTAGGCGCAAGGCTGCCTTAGATGCTTAAGGGCATCACAACACACGTTAAGCAGGATATTTCCCCGATCGGATTTTGCGTTCTATTACAATCCATTCGATGACTTCCGTCGATACTGTTGAACGCGGATACCGTGCATCTCAGTTGCGCAGGTGATCGATCAAGACCGTGGCTGCCAGGGCTACTCAGTACGTCGCCTCCCTCAGCAAGTGGCCCAGCCACTAGAGCTCTCTAATTGGCCAAGCCTTATGATAACAACGGTATCCTAACGATAACGCTGGTATCCTAACGATAACGCTGGTATCCTAAGGCTGGCCAATCGCGTTATGCGGCTGGCCGTGTGCCCTTTCCTCCTTCTTTCCTCTTTCACTCGCCGTCCCCCATGGCAGGCGCCGGACGGAAGGGACATGTGCAGGCCCGTGGATGGACGTGGATGGCAGGAAGACACGACAATCGGAAGTAGACCTCCTCCACTCCTTAAGGTACCGTCACATTTCGTTATCACATTTGACGGAAAATGTCTCCCCGCTACTACTGCTCGTGATCTCAACCTTCAACCCATCACCATCTCTTTCCGCCCTCGCGTGCAACGTGCCATAGCATCACTCTTTGTACTCCAAACGTCTCTCGTTCATCTTCCATCCATACAGGCCCGTTCGACTATCGGAATCACCGCTATCGCGACTTACTTACAGAATGGCTCCCGAAGGGACGGTGCTCCGAACTCTGCGACCTCGACCACCACCACCACCACTACGACAGACAATCCCATCCATTGGCTCTGGATCGCCAGAATCCTCGAAAGACAGCGCCGAGATCGCCACAGATGATGACGCCAGGGCGAGTTTGGACGCCGCAAAGGAGCCCAATCCGAATTTACCATACCACAGATTTTTCGCTGAGGTGACCGACACAAACCCCAGGCCCGGTCGTAAGACGTCCAAGCTTGTCAACGAACAGCTGGCAGCCATAACAACACCTGACCGCACTCTCGTTGCCGAGAAGACCATCGCAAACCTTCCTTTGATAAAAAGGGCTACTCGCGCTGTTGCCGACAGCAGGCCCGAGAGTGCGGTCCCGACCCAGAACTTGGGAAAGGCCCGCCGCTACGAGGAGACCCTAGATACCGCCTGGGGTGGCAGAGCCTGGCTGCCGCCGCCATTGTTCAGCCGCATCCGCTCTGGAAAAGTTGGCCGGGCTGAGACCAAGCTGTCAATCAATTCACTCAGTTACATGGCCACTCTGGTCCGTCTGTGCCGCGAAGCCGACATCGATGTGCGCACGTGGTACGACGAGGGCGGACTCCTCCGCGAGGCCGCCGTGCTCTGTCATGGCCAGCCAATTCGGTGGACGAAAGCAGTCCCAAAACGCGCCGTACAACTTCTCCGCGAGCGGGGTGGGGCGACCTCTTCCGCTTCTCAAGATCAAAACCGCGAGTCTACGGCCAACGACGAGGTCGCTCGGCATGCAGCAGCAGCAGCAGCAGACCACAGCAGCGACGACGAGAGTCTTGGAAGCACAAGCATGAATTTAGCGACAACTCCGTTGCGCCAAGTCTACTGTTCTCCTTTGTACGGGCCGAACCAGGTTTCCGTGATTCATCACGAGTATATCCGCGCATCCACCGTCAGCCCCATGCAAGATCGCGACTACGACGACGATTTCAGCAACTTTGACACCGACGACGATGAGCCCCTCTTCACCAACATCGGAAACGACGGGGACGGCGTAGAATCCGTCATGGAAGTCGCTGATGCTGTCCAAGACGACGATGCCGAGTCAGCGGCAGAAGCCAACCACGTTGTCGGCGACTCCCCCGTCGGAAATCCATCGGAGGAAGCTTACATCCCGATACTGGAAAATCTGCCCATCGCATTCAAGGCTCTCCCAAAAGCAGTCAATCAACTGAGTCATAGGGATCGGTTGACTGACGACAGCATACAAGTGCTCCAACTCGTCCTACTAAACTCGATGGTCCCGGAACCGAGAATCCTCGTCGTTGACCCTCTCTACTTGCAACCCGCAGGTAGACTTCCCGCACGTCTACCGTCGACTCTCCAGAGCAGACGCAAAGACCGAATCGTGACTGTGGTTCACCAAAGACGCTTGCAGCACTGGACTCTCCTCGACATTTGCTTCGCCGACCGTTACGTCCGCAGCTACGATTCCATCTCATCGTCGGGCGCCTCGCCGGATGTCAAAGAGGCGGTTGTTCCCTGGCTGTCGCTACACGTCCCAGGACCTGACTTTTCCTTTTCAACACCAGTGAGTGCTTGTCGCTTATTATCGGTTTTCGTAGCTAACAATGCGACAGAGATGCCCTCAACAGGATGACGATACCAGCTGCGGCGCTTTTGCTCTGCTGGGGATGCAACACCTCCTTGCGGGCAACCTCACCTTGGCGGATCTCGATGTCAAAAGTGGAAAGCACGCTCGCGAGATCCTTCTCCGGACAGCTTTAGCAAAGCCGCCGATTCACTCTAAAGTCCCTCATTGGCGTGTACAAGTCAGCACCGGTCTCTCGCCTTCGCAGACACAATCGCCCGCCACAGTGCCTCGCCCTCCACAACGTGACTCCGACACGCTTGCAAATCCGAATCAATGCCTGAAGTCGGTGCCGACTGAATATTTGGGCCGGAGATTAGATGCTGAATCTGGGGCGGCGACGACACCGACTCTGAAGATCAGTCTTCGACGCAGGCGATCCCAACACAGCGGCAGCGGAGACGAGGAAAGCAGTCCCCTCAGGAAACGCTGCAGAAGCAAAGGAAACGAGTATCCGCCCAACTTAGCTACTTTCGTCCGCACTGCACCCGCTCTTGACCGACGCGCAAAATTGGACGCTCTCATGAAAGAAATAGCAGCTTTGGAAGAACCCTCGCCGTCGGAGCAAGAGAGCGAGAAGGACATCCATAGGTGTAGAGTTGACTTGGAAGCAGCGAGGGCACGGTCGGTGGGAGCTGCAGAGGCTCTCGGGGCCCTGACCAAGGCACTAAGCAATGAACGCACGTCGCAGGCGGAGTCCGAGTCAAGCTACGAACAGATGGCGAAGTGGGCGGAAAATGTCCTACAGGCCTCCTCTCAGATAACGCAGCGAGGTGCCGAGCACAGCAACACCACTTCATGCCAAGACGCGTTCCAAAAGACCAAAGAAGCACACCAGCTCTTCGTCGAAAATTCCATATGCCGCGCAAAGATGGAGGTTGATGCAGCGAATAAAAAGGTCCAAGAGGCTGAGGATGCTGTCGCTGAGCAGCGTCAGGTGGTCGTCAGGGCGGAGCAAGGTGTTATCGACGCGGAGACGCTACTTGGCAACGCCGAGTTGTCGCTCAGGAACTATCAAGACTACAAGAAACTTCGAGGCGCGCTTGCAGCATGAAGTGAGACGAGCGCGTTCGGTGTTGGACGTTTTTCTGTCTTGGCGCATGAATCATTAGAAGTTTGCAGCCTTCTCTTGGACGTGTAGTTTGTCGTTCGATTATCCCTATACAAATCGCAGAATTCCAAGATTGCCACTCGTATTCTCCCAACCTTGAGGTTTTCCAAGCGTTCGTGTCAGTCCGGGCTGGCCTCGGAATCTCAGACACCAACAGGATTGGTGTTACTACCAATTTTGCACCGCATCTAACCATCCAAAATTCCATTGCCACAGAGGGAGTCGTCTTATCGGTCTTCAATCTCTAGCACTTGGCTGGGTGGTGTCTGAGGTACTGGGTTGTCGACGTGGGTGGGTGGGGTAGACTTCCGGGGGGCATGCCACCTGGGCAGAATCTCTGCATCACACTAGTGGGATGCCGATGGCGGGGCACAAATTCCCAGGCGGTATTTGTGGGACCTTGGTGGTCTGGTTCACTGATACCAGTGATGTGACTGGCCATCCTTAGGATACCGCTGGTATCGTAAGGGCAGGCCAATCAGAGGGACCGTAGCGGAAAGTACCCACTGGCGGAAAAAAAGCCAGAATACCAGCACCTTGGTGGTCTGGCGAAAAAGAATGCCAGAACGCTCCAGTGACGTAGTGTTCTGGCGAAAAGTCGCCATTACCTTGGTGGTCTGACGGAGGCCAGCACTTGATGATTGCTGTCAGGGGCACTAAGCAAGGGACACAGTGCACAGACTTCACGTCGCCTTTCGTCCTGGCGAACATCATCACCAACGCCCATCATTTCGTGACTTTGCCGCAGCTACACAGAGAAAGCCCGAGGATCATTCCAAGCCCGATCCTTCATGCCAAAGCATCGTCCAAGTCCAGTCGGTCTTCCTAAGGTCCACTTCGGATCGCCTCTTCGAAGCTTCACAGGCCGGAAAAGGTGGGCCGCTCCTGGACGCATGTGCACCCCTGAATGCTTGCCGTCCCAACTTCAACTGCGGATTGGGACCTGCCCTGCGCCCTGCTTCTCCTGCCCAATGTCGCTTATGATTCCCGCAGGCCACTGCTCTCCTTCCCAATGTCGCTTACGATTTCTGCATGTGACTGCTCGACACCATGTCTGCATCTGCCAGCGGAAGGCAGCAACGCGGCGGACCTGACCCCTCAACATGAGTATCGGCCGGTGCTGCGAACCACGTCTGCCTTTCCATCCCCCCATCCATCTCCCATCCATCCACCCTGATTTCCATCCATTCTTGTCCAACCATCCGAATAGGTTTCCATCAATTCTTGTCCATCCAACTCCATGTCGCCGCCTACTGGCACACCCTTTTGACTGCCGCATGACCCTGACGGGGAAACATGTGAGGCCCAGGATGGCTCGCAGAGAAACCTCTATGGCCAACCTTTGGGGTATTGCCGCTGACCTGGTCCCCAAGTCCATCTTCGTCGTCAGCGAAGACAGTCCGCGCACACGACATTTTCCTCGCAGGATCCGTGCAGCCGCAATCTCAGAGCTCCCAATCTCAACCTCGTCACCTCACACGACTGCTTCGTCGCTCTGATTACTGCTGACCTGGTCCCCAAGTCGAACTTCATCTTCAGCGAAGACAGTACGCTTGCGGGGGGCAGCTCCCTCTCCCACACCACCATTGTTCGGCAGCGAATGTCAGCTTTATTTTTCAATTTCCCATGCAACAGGTGCCATGAAATTCTTCCAATGGGTACGTGGCTGCAGCGTTGATTCCACTGCCTCTTTGTCGTCTAAGAACCAAAAACAGGCCACACGGCTACCTTGTACCAAGGCGACAAACCACTCGCGTTTAGCGGCGAGAGCGAGCCTTGAGGAGCATATGACGTGCCTTTCAGACCTGGCTCTGTTTGATTCGACAGCAGCGACTTCGAATACAACCGCAGGTGACGGGCCCTGTTCCAGGACGACCATCGAATGTATCTTTCAGGCCTGATAATGTTCGACTTGAAGACGGCACATTGGACCCAGCCGCAGGTGATGGGCTGCATTTGGCGGAGAGAACGAGCATTGGGCGTATCTTTCAGACCTGATCATTTTCGAATTGGGACCGCATACGCGCACAGCCGAAGGTGACGGGTCCCGGTCCGAAAGGACGAGCAAGGCATACCGCTGCTCTCCACGAAGTATCGGACACTCGACACCATCTCTTGAGTCGTTGACCCTGAACTTCCTGCGTCGCATTGTCGGTGTGGTGGGAGATGTCATCACGCCCAGTCAACAAGGTGCGCCTCCAGGCGGCAAACTGCGAAGGAAAATTTAGAAGGGAAGAAGAATACCCCGCCCGCCCTACTGCAAACACTACCCAAATTGCGAGCCGCTATCGTTGTGGAGAAGGAGGCGGCGCCTGAGGTCTCCAAGCTGGCTCGTCCTGCCTCATCGGCTCAGCCAGCTCAGCAGAAGCTGTCAATCTCCGCCGAGCGGTTGGAGGCCCTGGTAGAGAAGAAGGTTAGATTGCCTGTCTTCGCGGATTCCTCAGATCTTGCTGGCAAGACCCAACAGGATGGACAAGTGGGCTGGGCATGGCTGGGTGGGTGAAATTACCAGATTACCATATGGTAATTGGTGACTAAGCACCGGTCGGCAACATTGACGGCGCCCAGATGGATAGCAGCCTCTGGGAGTCCGCTCGGTATCCCCCAGGTTCACCATACACTGCGAAGCTACTGGACTGGGCACTGAATGAGGTGCTTTTGCTGCTTCTTCTCTTGCTGTGAGAACCTCTAGTGTGTGGGCTCGGAACTTCCTCACCATCCCCCAGGTTCACCATTCTGGACGCACCGTGTAACAGGCACGCGCAACACACCGGTACAGCTCGGCATGGATCCTGTTAGGAAATCTCCTTCCATGGTAGCCCGGTTGCCTCTGGGAATCCGCTCGGTATCCCCCGCGTTCACCCGTCTGATCGCACCGTGTAACAAGCACGCGGAATGCGTCGGCGCATTCCGCCACAGATCCTATCAGGAAGAGGCAAGGGAGGGGAGAGAATAGAGGTAGAGACTAGCTCGCATGACAGGTTTCGCGCATCCTTTTGGCCAAGCATACGGAGTAGTAAATAGCGTGGAACAATCATTTATTTGTCAAATGTGCTCTTTCTTGTGATTGCTGATTTATTTCATTTGTTCTTCGCGTTGTCATCGAGTTTTGCTACCCGGGCAGTGCCCCCCATAACTTCAATTGTAGCGCATTCCATATTTCGGTCTGATGATAGACAACGATGACAATAATAGTGACAACGATAGTGATGAAAACGACAGGGACGAGGACGGCGACAGGGACAAGGACGACGACAAGGGCGACGATAGCAGGCAGACAAAAAGATCAGTTGCCTGAATACAGGAAATCAAGGGGATCTTGGTAGGATTTACGGATTACATGCGTGTAGCAGGCACTGCCCGGGCAGCAAATCTCTTGTCATCAGCCCTTGGTCGTCCACATTGCTCTCTTCAATCTTCTCTGGAGGACTCTTAGCCACTCCTGACCCGACAGCGAATTGACGCGTTGGCGTAGCCCGCTGGTCAAAATGTTCTGTCAGGGTTTGGGGCCTTCACCGTCTGGCCGGTCGCACTACGAGCGTTGTGGAGAGGAATGCCGTCGCTTGAATTTTTTTCACGGTTGTCGGTCCCCTCCCAAACGCGTCGATATTGCACGCTCCGCTTGGAGGCGGGATCTTCTTCGTGTTCAAGTAATCCCAATGCCCAGCCCAGTCTCCATGAACCTTTCCATGGGGGTTGAAATCACTGGTGAAAGGAAATGATTTTTATGCCTCGGTCAGTTTTCTGTATCCAGATGCAGATGCAATTAGAGGTGGAGGCGGAGGGATTGAAGCTGCGTGAAGTGGCTTGATTTCTGTAGCTGCGAGGGCCGGGCGCACCTGGCTGGAGACTGGGGATTCGGGCCGGCATTTGGGCGCCGGATTCAGTGATGCTCTGGTCGTCTCCTCTTCCTCCCCAGAGGCTTCACAGCAAGACCTAATGTGCCTGACACCTTCATGGACATGTGCTGACTCAGATGTCCATGTTGACTGCATCCCACAGATTCGCAACACCCAAACCTCGTGGACTTAAAGGCCACCAACTGAGCAGTTCATGCGCTTAAAGTGTGCGGACAAGCCGGCTGCTCAGCCTGAGCAACACACCGCGGCATTTCGACAAATACGTTCAGGAACCACCGCATGCCACCCAGAACGGCTGAGCACCAGATCTTCAGCATCGCAGGCGAACAGATCCAGCGCGGCGACATATTCATCTGGCAGCGCATGCGGTCCAAGACGTATCCTCCGCCAACATCGGCCCCGCCCTATCCATCTACTTTCATCAGACGATGACCTGGGTGCATCCCAGGATACGTTGTCGCCAACTGCGAATCCCGCTTCTAACTCTAGGCAATTTCAGTGACACAGATCCAGCCACATTTCATCCACATGCTCGGGTATTCCTTCTCACCCGTCTCCGGCTTCGATCAACGTGGTTTGGGATTTGAGGTCTTGGATGAGATTGCTCAACGCAGAGCGACTGAATGCTGAAAATCAAGCAAATAGAAAGCATCTTATATATTCCTCAAGTTGATGTGAAATCAGCAAAACGGTGGGAACCACGTCGTCTAGCAGCACCGGCAACGTGAAGCTCCTCGTGGGTGTAGCTGTCAGCTGGCCACAGCTTGGCTGGAGATCGTATTGCCAATAGCAACAAGTCATCGTTGTCCCGCATGGCGACAGGAAACCGCAACACTCCGGCTTGCGTCTCCGCCACGCTGAGGGCAAATAGTAGTAATCCAGCTGAGACAGACAGCTGGGCTGGGCTGAAACTACGGCTCTGAAGTGTATACAACAGTCGCTTGCCATGAGAATTGGCCCGGAGCCAAGGCCATGTCAGCTGGAAAGAGACGAGTCAAGAGCGTCTACGTCAAGGACCAGGAAGACGCTGCGCTGTCCATCTGGCTGACGGACGAGCTTTGGCTCGGGGAGAGCGACATCGTC